ACCGGGGATTAAATCCAGGGACACTCGACCACTGAGCCACATCCCCAGCCCTATTTTGTATTTTATTTAGACACAGGGTCTCACTGAGTTGCTTAGTGCCTCGCTATTGCTGAGGCTGGCTTTGAACTCCTCCTGCCTCAGTCTCCCCAGCCGCTAGGATTACAGGCACTGCGCCTGGCTTCATCTTCCCCTTTCCTATGGTAAAGATTATCTTCTTCCTGACCCAGCAGCCACTTCTAAGCAAACAACGTTAACGATAAGCATTTCTACTATGTGTTTTTTTTTTTTTTTTGGCAGCCCAACAAGTGATTTGCAGAATTCTGGAAGACAAGACAAACACAGGTAAGGAAGTAGAAGCTCAGAGAATCTGTAAATTAGAGAAGGCCATCTAGCCTGGAAATTGAAGATTCAGTACTCAAACCCAGGTCTGCAGATGCCAATTCTGCAATGTTTGCTCTTGCCACAGCTTCCAGGGAACTCCTAATCTCTATCTGCAATCCCTGCCAGTCTCTGGAGCCCCAGACCTCTATTTTCAGACTCCATCCAGCACTGATATGGGGATGTCTGTCCAAATCTCAAAGTAAACATGCTTAACTAAATCCATCAAATGCCCCCTCCCAAACCAGCTCCTTTTGCTGACATGCTCATTTCCACTCAGGTCATTGTTACCCCAGTCACTCAACCCTAAAAACCTCACAGCTAACCTATCATTCTCTCTTCCTCCCTGCTCCCACGTCCAAGTTGTTATTAAGGTCTAGCAATAATTCTCCTGTATTGCTGCTTTTACATCCTTTCTTTTGTCCCCAATCCTTTTGTGAGCAGCTTAATCTTGGCTCCATCTCTCACCTCAACAATCAAAAAACCTGACTCCCTGACACCTACCTTTCTTTCCTCTAATTGGTCCCGCAAAGCTCTCTATCCTAATTTTTAGATGTGATCATGTCACACTTCAGTGTCAGCCATCAATGGCGCCCACTACAAAATAAACCACAAATCTATCCCCTATAAACACTATCTGGCTCCCACTTATATTTCCAGGTCAACTCTCCTCCTTCCCAGGACAAACACTACTGCAGCCAGGCTGGTTTACACATAACTGTCAACATTTCCCATGTGACTTCCCTGCCCACCTTCTCCCCTGCCTAATAAAAATCCAACTTCAAGGAATGGATAAGTCCATCCTCTTTTATGGAGCCTATCCTAGCACACCAGTCCTGGGGAACATGCTTTCTTTTGATCAGCTTACTTTCTACCACCCAGTCATCATTTGCTACTTTAAGGGCTCAAGTAGATCTAATGCCAATTAGAAGGCAGGGTCTATATGAGGGCCTCAGTACCCAGGCAGCCTTGCATTTAAGTAGGAGGTACTCAAGTATTTATTGGTTGATTATATAGTTGCCAATTATCATTTTGTGTGATGCAAATAATATATATATATTACACACACACACACACACACACACACACACACACACACACATTAAGTGGTTAATTTGAGGTATTATAGTCTTTGGGAACTAATGTTTTCTTGGCAAAAATGAAAGAACCAAACCTCAGCATCATTTTTCTGAGTTCCCAAATACATACATCTGGTGCTTAGTTTTCACAGTATGAAAAGCTTCTATAGACTTACCCTTCCCACATTAATGCCTCCAACATTTCCAAACTAGCTGGTTAGACTGGAAAATATACTATTCATATTTGACACTAGCCTTGTTAGGTATCTCCAAACCCAAAGAAAACAAAGGTCAATGCTCCTCACAAGAAAGACATATGGCTCTGTATACTCTGGAGGTAGAATATCTCCCTTCCTGTGTTACACCCCACCTGACCTTCACCAATGCCCCACCTGACCTTCCAGCATCATCTGTGTTGGCCACTCAACATTTAGAAACAGTTCAGCAGTTGGCTGAACTTTGTCCACCAGTCACTCTGGAGCCCAAACACTGACCCCAGTGGTAGAACTGGAACTTAATTTGGCTCACTTTGATGATTCTCTTTCATTCACAGATGATCACTGCTCTGCTTCTCCCTGTCTTTTCACCAGATCAAATGCTACAGCAGACCAGAGTTCCTGCTGTTATTGCATCAGCCCAAGCTGTAAGGTTATGCTGTCTGACTGGGCTTCTCAAAGGCTAGCTGAAGATGTAAACCAGCTTTTGGAAACAGGGCAAGTACTTTTGGTATTTACAGTCATGACCACACATCTACCCGCAAGCCTTCAAGAGGTCAGGCCAGAGATTGCAGGTCAGCAGTTTGCAAAGATGCAATTCTATTAGCAGATTCATAAGAAAACAGCACCCAAAAAGGGGATGAAAACCAGGCAAGGAGAACATTCACGTCAAGCATTCTAGTGCTCTTATAAGGTCTGCCAACTGGTGAACTGTTTCTAAATGTTGAGTGGCCAACACAGATGATGCTGGAAATGTATATTCCATGAAAAATCAATCCCTGATAGTGACTGCCAGAGGCTGGGGGTGGGGTGTGTGCAGGAGGGAGGTGGATGTGGCCAGAAAAGAGCAATGTGAAGAATCCCAGCAGTGATACACTAAGCCACACATATGAAAAAAACTGTGGCAAACTCAACACACACACAGTTATTAGCAAAACAGGGCAATCTGAGTAAAATTGGCAGATTGCATCAACATCAATGACCTGTTGCAATATTATGCTATAGTTCTGGAAGATATTACAATGCAGAGGTGGGACTGGGTAAAGGGAATATAGAGTACTACCATTTCTTACATGTCTGAATCTATAATTACCTCACAACATAAAGTCAAATTAAAATAAGGTAAAGTTCAAAATGTAGCCCTCTACAATATACAGAATATGAAAGAATGCTGACTTATGACCACAGTAGTTACAAATAAAAGATGTAAAGCTAAAAAAGTTTGATTCCTGAATCTGGATTTCCTAACAGAGCTATCATTCAGGTGAGACCACTAAGAGCCTCATATCTACCCAAGGATACCCCCAAATGAACCTCTGACTTATGTTTACCCAGAGAGATTTTAGCCCCCTTCCTGTTAATCACATGGTGGTATCCTGTCCTTGAGAAAACTCCGTAGTATAGGAGACTAACTGGCAATTACCATACCAAAGCTCATTTTAAACTCAGAGTCCAAATACTTAGTGCTGGATCTACAATGATCTCTGCCATTTTGTATTTGCACCCATTCACTCTATGCTAAATACACATATCACTGGAAAAATGTGCTCATGCCCACTTTCACAAAAAGGTTTATTCATCATTTCTTTTCATTAGACTTTGCAAGGAGTTTCTGCTAAGGCCAGAAAGGGTAAAAATCCTAGGTACTCTGTTTTCATGCAGAAGGTACCATCCCTTCCCTTCTCTACAAAACTGTGACATCTAAAGCCAAGCAAGGGCTGGCAGCCTGGCATTTCAATTATTATGTTAGTTCTCATCACACTGCTTGAAGGGGGAAACAAGGATCTGTAATTCCTTTCCAACTCTGGAATGAAAGCAGAACAATGTCTTTACTCACCAATGTCATTGCTGCGATCCGAGAGATCCTTGTCCAGGATGCTGGCTAGCGTACTGCCCGTCAATTCAATCTTTGGACCGTCACCCCTACGTTAAAAACACAAGTCCAGACATTTAATAATCGGTATGTGTTCTCATCATTCTGTGAGCTTTCTTGCTGGATACATGTTAAGGAGGGTGCTGTGCATGGGGCAAGTGGCACTGTTGCCTATGACGGAGCCACTGGGAGCCAATGAGCTGTCCAGCCACATGGGCCGTGGTACAATCTGGGAATGGACTGGATAACCCCCTCTCCTGCACATGGACTCGAAGATGGCTGTTTTAATGACTGCTCTCCAACGCACCTTCAGCCACAAACCCTCCCTCTGGATACACAGGGTGCAACAGAGGCCCGCTCCCGCCCCATGGCCAAATAAGCACTGGCAAACTGGGAGCTTCCCTTTTAAGGAACATGGAATTTAGCCAATGCTGCTTGTCAAAGGTCAGCTACTTTTAACCTTGAAGAAAAGGTTCTCTGGCCTGGGGCTGAGGCACCAGCCAGGCTGTTGACAGGCACAAGGTGTCGAGTTGAGATCTGGCAGCCTGAAAGCTGGCATCAGGGCATAAGTCTGTAAAATTAGATGGCTCCTGGGTGGGTGCCCCTGTGCCCATCAGGACACGAGTGATTTCCTCTATCTGGGCTGGAAGCAGCGCATGTTTGGGATGGGAACAGGCCTTCAAGACAATGAGAAAGAAACCCAGCTTCCTCATACACTAGCACAAGGTTCTTCCAAATTCCTCTAAAAGGGCAGTTCTTTGGCCCTCTCAGGGAGATGAGCCCTGAACAAGATTATCCAAGGGCTGTGATGGCAGTGAAACAGGAAAAGATTCTTGCCTATAAAATGAGAAGGAGAAGCCGAGCAGTTGTTCCCAGGAAAGCAACAGAAATAGTCCATCTCATAGCTCCTGAAGGTCACCATGGCCTGAAGCTCAACTACACAAGGAGGAACAATCACTCAACAAGCACTTGACAAATACCTACTGTGCTGGGGGTTTGGAGAGGGCCAAGTCAGGTGGTACCTACTCTGGAAAGGAGCATGGTCTAAATGGGAGAGACAGACAAACAACCACAAGCCCATATGGTATAGGCATGCACAATACAGATATGTCACAGTCCTGGGTTTGTTCAGAGGATCTGTATGGCCCCGGATAGAGGGCATACAAAAGAGACAGCATTATAGCTGGGCCTTGGAGAAAAAGGGAAAGAGGACATATTTGTAAAAGGCATAACTGAGCAGGGACTCAAAGGTAGATGAGGGTACACCTGTGCCCAGGGGTCCTTAGAAGCAAGAGTAAAAAAGCTGGCAAGGTTGGAGAGGGCCAGGCTGTGCTGGGTGGGTGTGATAGAGTCTGGTGTGTCTGGTATGTCCTGGTGTATATGGTGAGTCCTGGAAGTAGTGGGTGGTGGAGGGAAGGTTGCAGCAGAAGACCTGTAAATTTGGAGGGCAAGGAGGGTGGTGGGAGCAGGGCTGGGCCCAAGGGCATGGTCTCTATTAAGAGCAATATCACCGGAATACTGTTCAATGAGTGTGCACTATGGGACTTACTGGGCCTTTCAGAGCTAGGTTGAAATACAAGTTTAGGCAGAGAATGATCTACTGAACTTGAAAAGGCGAAATAACTTGGGCTCCATAAAAGGACCTTTGTTTCTTGCCTCACCCATTTTCCTTTGACTGTGGAGCCCCCCAAAAGTGGTTCTGTTGAAGACTCTTTCTTCATTCCCCTGGCCACCACAGCTCAGGGCCACTGAATCAAAGAGATCCTGAGCCAACTGAAGGGGTGGGAAGGAGAAATACACTTCAATGCATTTTATTGTCAGGGCTCTGGCATCCAGTAATTTGAAGGTCCAGTCAATCCCCCATATGAGTGTGTTCTGCATCTACGGATTCAACCAATCTAAGACTGTATAACTCAACAGCAATAAAACAAATAATCTGATTTTTTAAATGAATGAATGAACGACCTGAATAGACATTTCTCAAAAGAGGAAAAATGACCAACAGGCTTATGAGAAAGATATTCAGCATCATTAATTGTTAGGGAAATGCAAATCAAAACCATAATATCTCATCCTATCTCAGTTAGAATGGCTATTATCAAAAAGACAAAAAATAAGAAATGCTGGCATGGACATGGAGAAAGAGGAACTGTCATATACTATTTTTCTTCTTCTTCTTCTTTTTTTTTTGGAGAGAGTGAGAGAGGAGAGAGAGAGAGAGAGAGAATTTTTAATATTTTTTTTTTAGTTCTCGGCGGACACAACATCTTTGTTGGTATGTGGTGCTAAGGATCGAACCCGGGCCGCACGCATGCCAGGTGAGCGCGCTACCACTTGAGCCACATCCCGAGCCCCTGTCATATACTATTGATGGGAATGTAAATTAGTGCAGTCACCATGGAAAACAGTATGGAGGTTCCTCAAAAAACTAGAAGTAGAACTATCATATATACAGCCAAGTGGAATGAAACTGCTATGTCAAAGAGACATCTGTATTTGCATGTCTATTGAAACACTATTCATAATCAAGATATGTAATCAACCTTTGTGCCCATTGATGGATGAATATATAAAGTATATGTGGTAAACACACACACACACACTTGTACACAATGGAGTATTATTCAGTCATAAGAGGAATGAAATTCTGTTTTCCAGCCTGCGAAGGGTGTGGAGGGGGCAGAGGTGGGAAGAGGAGGATTAACAGAGTACAGGAGTGCAGTTAGATAAGAGGAATTACTTCTAATGTCTTTTTTGTGTGTGTGATGGGGATTGAACCCAGGGGCACTCAACCACTGAGCCATATCCCCAGCACTTTTTTTTTAAGATACTGGAGATTGAACTCAGGGGCACTCAACCACCGAGCCACATTCCCTAGCCCTATTTTGGATTTCATTTAGAGACAGGGTCTCACTGAGTTGCTTAGAGCCTCACCATTGCCGAGACTGGATTTGAACTTGAGATCCTCCTGCCTCGGCCTCCTGAGCTGCTAGGATTACAGGCGTGTGCTACCGTTCTTGGCTCCCAGTTCATTTTTATATTCTATTTAGAGACAGGATCTCACTGAGTTGCTTAGGGCCTTGCTAAGTTGCTGAAGCTGGCTTTGAACTCGCAATCTTCTTGCCTTAGCCTCCCAAGCCTCTGGGATTATAGGCATGCACCACTGCACCCAGAACTTCTAATGTTCTATAGCATAGAAGGATAACTAAAGTTGACAGAAATTAATTGAATGTTTCAAAATAGCTAATAGATTTTTAATGCTTTCAACACAAAAAATTGATAAATGCCTGAGGTGGTAGATATGCCAATTACTGTGATCTGATCATTACACCTTTTATATGTGTATTGAAATATTGCACTGCACCCCATAAATATATAAAATTATGACTTGTCAATTAAAAACAAAAATATTGAAAAAAGAAAAAATATTCAGTATAAAATTGCATCTGTATTGAACACAAACTTTTTTGTCTTATCATTCATTATTCCTTAAACAACACAATTTAACACCTATTTTCATGGAATTTACATTATATCAGTTATTATAAATAATCTAGATATGATTTAAAGTTCAAAAGAGGATATACATAGGTTAAATGGAAATAGAATACCATTTTATATAAGTGACTTAAGCATCCAAGACTTTTGGTATCCTTGGAGGGGGTTCTTAGAAATGATCCCCCCAGAGGTACTCAGGGATAAAATATTTTAAAAATGCAGAATTATTAGTAGGAAAGGATCATTATCATTTTAAAATGTCTTTCTTTCCCCAAATAGAATAGAATAATTTCTTGAGAGTCCTTAAATATTATTATTTGTTAGCCACAGGGCTTGATGGATTTGGTGGTTTCATCCTCCAAACTCACAGACTCAACTCAAGTTATACTCACAGCCAGACAGTCCTAACCATTTTGGAACACACCAAGAACCAGAACTTACACATATCCTGCCTGGGGAGAAAGGTCATTCAGACAGTGGGACTAGTTAATTCCACTAGGCTGGGTTTGTTGTTGTTGTTTTCCTTGTTTGTGTTTGTTTTTTGCTTGCTTTATCTGGTCAAGAGGGAAGATGGTTTGAGGTGACATCCTGGTGGAAGTCTCAGCAGTAAATAAGAGGGACTATCGGAGAGAAGGAATTTTGCTCCTAAGTTAATCACATACATCTCAGAACAACGCAGCTGCTTCTGAACGTGTGGTTTAGTTGTGTATTCTGGTAACCATGGATCTTGAAGAAGCTGTGTTTCTCTTTGATTTGACAGCTGAAAGCTTCCAGTCCAACATGAGCCTATCTTGAGGAGTTGTTGGAAGACTCTGTTATGTATTACTGTGCTCATCATATCTTGGATTTTATTACTTTTCTGCCCTTATTTCCCTTTTACTGTCACTCTCAACTATTTTGTTCTTTTATATGTATTTGGTTTTCTTTGGGATCTGGCTTTTAATTTATTTTCAAATATTATTTTATTTAACTGACAACAATCATACATATTTATGGTATACAATGTGATGCTTCAATACACACATATGTTGTAGAATGATCAATCACACTAATTAGCATATCCATCACCTCAACTGTTTATCATCTTTTTGTGGTGAGAACATTTATAATCCTTTCTTTAGCTGTTCTGAGATTGCAACACATTATTATTAATTACTGTCACCATGCTGTGTAATTGATTACTAGAATTTATTCTTCCTCCCTGACTGAAACTTGTGCCTATTGACCAATGTCTCCTCTTTCCCTGTCTACCTGCCCTCTCCACCAGCCACTGGTAACTGTCATTCTACTCTCTATTTCTGAGTTTGACTTTTTTAGATTCCATATATGAGATCTATGTACCTAGTGATCTTCTTCACTTAATCTTCAGAAGTGGGCTTTGTCATTTATCCCCTACCAGTTGAATGCTTTGTACATGTAGGTATGCCAAAAAGGTTCCTGTAAATGAATAGGCAGACATTATGATCTGTCTAGACCTTGTATACCTTAGACAATAACCTGTGGATAAGTTGCATTCTGGGTTTTTTTTTTTTTTTTTTGTACCAGGGATTGA